ACTGGTGGGAGAAATGTTTGGATATTTTACTCAAGTAAAACCACAATATAAAAAAAATACTGTTGTAAGTAGAAATCCTGCATTCTTATTGACATGTACTGGAAATGTTCTATATAATATACTTCAATGATTTTTACGACTTAAATCATCTTAACGTATCAAAAGAACAAACACTAAGTCAGTACAGCACCATCTGATTGTATTTGATCAGTAACAATAAGAGCAATTTGTCGGTTATGTCGATGAACTGCAGATCTCTGCAGCAGGTCGGAACACTTTGTCCTCAGCAGCTTCTTCAGCTCGCTGGTTTCAGTCGTGCCAGACGTGTTCAGCCTTCAGGCCAGACAGTAATGACAGCGTTTAACCGGCAGTGCTAACGAGGTGCAGTCAGTCTGATGGCGTGTTTGGATTCCTGAACTAAAACAATTAACGTGTCAAAGAAACAAAACGGAGCAAATGTAAACATGTGGTTCATCTTTTATCCAGTTGTTCTGTCTGATTTACCACTAATCCCAACACAGAACCGAGAAGAATTAAGGTGTGTAAGAATAAACTAAGCTGGATGATTATTATGCTAACGTGGAGGATTTGCGTCCACAGCGTCTGGAGAGCGAGAAGGAGACTCTGGAGAGAGATCTGAGTTTCAAAGCCGACCAGGCTCGGCAGTACGACTGTCTGCTGGAGGCCGTCCGAGAAAACAACAGACAGCTGCAGGTAACGTTTCCTCTTCCTGTGTGTCGTCATTTCAGTTCAGTTTAGTTGTTCTGCAGCAGATCGTGTTCTCTTATGGTTCAACTTAGCACAAAGAATGGAGGCAAACCTGATGCACGCACTCATTTAAGTTGTTCTTAATCTCGTAAAAATGCAGATAGGTGTTGTGTTTTTATCAGGAAGCTTCTGCTCAACCATATCTGATTTGCCTGAAAATTTTATAGCATAAAGTTTAGATATTTAGAAAGATATTTGTAAAATTTTAGATTGATATATGAAGTGCTTTCCAAGATACATTTTTATACAGCAGGTGTTTCATACATTGAACTTTGTGGCTGTTTGAACGACAACATCTCAGAAACTGTTGAAAATAAAAGCCTGAAATCATCCCGGTTATGTCTCATCATGTCATTGATTCAAAATCTGCAATACTGGACAAGTTGGACAAGTATTGCAGAGCGAGAAAGTTATGAGTGAAGACGGCAGGTTTTTGTGAATCTACACTAAACTCTCTCTGCAGGCATCTCTGAAGGAAACCAGCGCCACCCAGCGTTCCCTGGAGAGCCAGCTCATGACCAGCCGAAACACCGACTCGGGCCGCGAGTTCAAAATCAAAGAGCTGGACGGAAGGCTGAGAGCGCTGGAGAAGGAGAACGAGATGCTCCGACAGAAGGTAAAACACGACGTCTTTCAGTCTCCGGCGACGAGTCTTTGATGTAAACCAGTGACTTGTAGTGGGGAACAGAAAACCCCAAACTATTATCCTGTATTTGAAATGATTCTGAAGAGTGACTCCTCTGATTAGACACTTAACCGCTGTCAATAGTTTAACTGATTAAAAATATAAGAACAGATAAGGGAGAAGAAGAAGAAGGTCATGCATGTAAGAAAATGCATTGTAGATTAGCTGCAGTACCTGATTGTTCCACCAGGTGGAGTCTCTTACCATTTAATACCGTAGTGACGAGAGGAAGCGCTCACTTCTGTCTTGGCAAGCAGAGAGCATTGTGGGAGTTTAGCTAGCAACGAGCCACCATGACAGAGAAGTCTGTGTCAGTTAATGACTTCTGGCCACAGCTCACATATTCCATACAAACTAAAAATACCGCTACGGTTATTATTTACTGGGGCTGGAGACGGTCAGTTAAGAAAACAATTTTAAAATGTCCACCCTACTTCAAAATGAGACCTCAAAGAACACACATACACGAGTGAACAAAAGTTTTCATAGCCTAGTAAAGACCATGTGTATCCTCCAGAAGGTGAGGCCTTTAGCCAAGAACACCAAACCTACCGTCAAGCACAGTGGTGGCAGCATCATGCTCTGGGCCTTACACAAAGTCAGTGGAACAATAAAGAAAGAGGATTACCGCCACATTCTTCAGGAAATCCTAAAGTCATTAGCCAGAAGGTTGGCTCTTGGAAGCAGTTGGGTGTTCCAACAAGACATAGTAAATAAATCGGTAAATCAGGCTAGAATTAACCCCAATAACACCAAACCTGCTGCCAAGCACGGTGGTGGCAGCATCATGCTCTGGAGCTGCTTTACACAAAGTAAATGGAATAATGAAGATGAAGGATTAAGTCCACATTCTTTAGGAAAACCTACATTCATTAGAGAGAGTGTTGGTGCTTGGACACAGTTGGGTGTTTCAACAAGACAAAGACTCAAAACTCATATTAAACATGGTAGAAAAAAAAAGACTCAATCAGGTGAGAATTAAGGTTTTAGAAAGTCCCGGCTTAAACCCCATCAAGAACCTGTGGTCTATGATGAAGAAAGCCAACAGATTTAGTTAAACTGCACCAGTTCTGTGAAGAGGAGGATTAACGACAAAGACGCATGAGGTTCCAACACAGAGACTTTTGAGTCATTGGAAACTCTAGGTTGCCACGATACACGCAGTCTTTTTTATCCACGACTGTAAAGACAAGATCAACTAGAACAGCTCTCAGACACTCCAGCAGTTTAGCTGAAATCTTCTGGATCCACACCAACACTTATTGGCTTCTTGCTGTGTCTGTGCACCAGGCTTCATGAATCTCAGCTTGGTAGTTTTTTCGTAACCTTTGACGTTGGCAGAGAAAAACGCTCCTCACTTTGGCTTTTGTGAACCAGTGCAGGTAGCCGTTGGTGAAAACCACAACGTGTTGCATTTCACTTCACAAGCCAGCGTTTTTATGTCTTATTGGATTACATCAGATGAGTCTTCCAAAGAAAGCTGTTGCATAATCGCACCAAGACAAACAAAACAAACATTCCAGTTTCTAGTTTCCAGCGTCGATGTGATGATTGCTCACTGTTTCATTTTCCATCCATCCGTCAGCTGGCAGGTCAGGCCAGCAGCTCCACCCTGCAGGTCAAAACGGAGGAGCTGTCACGCCAATACAACGACCAGCTCAGCGCCATGAGGCAAGAGAAAGACCAGGAGATACAGAGGCTGAGGGTAAGAACCGCAAACAGGAGCAGGATGTGCAGGAGGAGGGATCTCTGAAGCTTGTTTTCTAATAATAAGGGGTGTGTCAGCCGCAGACCAGACAGTAGATTTGCATTGGCACTGCTGTTGGTCGAGAGAAAAACCTCGTAAATGTAAGTTTAGAATGTGTCAGGAAACTAAAAATTCACAAGAATGACTGCATATATGTTCAAAGAACTTTGTACAGTTATTGTCCCCAGATGATAAATCCTCATCGGTTTGGTGACTTTTTGGGTTTAATGCCACCATCGGCTCCAGATACTTCTTTTATGACTAAATAATTGGAACGATACTTACATAACCATCATTCTTGCACTTTATTAAAGCACCAAAGTGGTTTAAGTGGTTCTTAAATACCAAAACACAGCATCATAAACCTACCTGCAGAATCTTGCTTTTGCTTTTAGTTTTTCCTTAAATTGCATCATCCAACAACTGTTTTGACTGTCTGGCCCTTATCAGGACCTGATGTAGGTGAGGTCTGAAGGATTTCAGCCGACACCCTGATAGCTGCACAGATACTGAAGTCTTTGGTGGTTGTGCTTTTGTTCTGTTTGCCTGCATATAAAGTGTCGTCATCGACCAGGCGAGGAAGACGAGTTGTTGAAGAAGAGCTCATTAACGTAAATTGGTTTTCTTTACATTTAAACTCTGCTTATCGTCTCCAGACCCAGATGACGAAGATCCAGACGGAGGTCACCACCCAACACTCGTCCTCGGAAAAGAGTCTTCAGCTGAAGATCTCCGAGCTGCTCTCCATGTTGGAGCAGCGGCAGACGGTCGTCACCCGCCAGGAGGAGGTCTGAAGCATCACACACCAACACTGGGTTTCAGATTTCACTCAACTGCTCTTCTGTACAAAGATAAATGTAGAGATTTCTGTCGTCAGACTCAGATCGTCAGCTCTGGTAACTTAGATTAAACCAGTGTTCATCCAAAATGTTCCAAACTAGACAGATTTCAGTCCTTTTTCTTTTTTTTTTTAAAGTTTGGAAACCAAAAAGGTTCAGCTGCAGTTTGTGTAAAAAGGTTTGATTTCTGAAGTATTTTTGATCATTTGGGAAAAAAACGAATCAGAATCAGAATCCTTTAAAGTCATTATACCAAAAAAGCACAATGAGATTGGGTGCAAACACATTCAGTGCAAAGAGCAACTATAAATAACTATAAACAAACAAACTGTGCAACACAGAAACAAGCCTGGAGATGTGTATAAAAAAATAAATAAGTGACAAATGGTATAAAATGGATATAAAAATGTGAGTATTTAGAATAGCAGCGAGGAACGGAGGTACCTGAGAAACACTTGTGGTAGATTACATGTGACATACTGAATAAAAAGCGAACAAACTTTTAATAAAACATGCTAATAAAAACAAAATCAGAGCCAAACACCTTCTATATACTATATATTCTAATATATGAATTACACACTTAACAGGTACGTTTTAAAATACAGAACAAAGACACTTTTTTTTCTTTAATCAGAGCTACTCTACCACTGCAGTGCAGGTCTTTCACATCAATCTGTATGAGGTGCAGTTAAAACAAGTTCCGAAACTGTTGCCCCAAACAAACATTAATTCAAATGCAAGCAGCCATTTAATATAGAAATACATCAGCACCAGCGTTTAGCTTGAAGACTTCTGAATAGTAATGTGGTGGTTTAAGTACGAGGTGCGATCGAGAAGTTCTGAGATTGTAAAAAGCAAAAAAACTGCCTGATTTAAGCGTCAGAAGTTGTCTCCTGTGCAGCGATGCTCTGCTCCTGCAACGTTTGGAACTTTTCCACCTAAAGACGCACATTTGCGATTTCACCATGGACAACGAGCAAACATCCAGTTCTGTGTCGGACTGACCCAACCGCATGTTTGTTTTCTGCGTCGGTTTGAACTTGTGGTGAAACTGCAAATGCACAATTGCAAGTGGTGAGAATGGGACGTCCAGGGAGTGTTTCAAACGTGGCAGGAGCACCGGGAGCAGAGCAGCGCTGCACAAGTTCAAAGGAAAAAAGGAGTTCTGGATTACGACATTTCCTTTTTAAGTATATCAGATATGTATGTATATAAAATTTAGTTTGGATACGTTTGTTGGTTTTTAATAACTTTTTTTGTTACGGATTCATTTTAAAAGCCTGAGCTGCTGCAGTAACGTGGCTTCAATCTGATGGTTTACGCGACACAAGCAAGTCTCAGGAACAGATCTCCATGTTGTATGGATGGGAACCAGGTGGTAGAAATAATACTTTAACATGTCGTAGTTTGCAGAGAAGTCAGTGGTGATACAAAGCAGACTTCTTATTCTGGAGTGATTCGGTTTACAGGATTTATTACAACACGAGTCTTATTTCCACAGTTTAATCACAACATTATATTCATAAACTTTATTGCTGAGATGTGGAAACATGGAATTATTTCTATAAATCTTTCAGTAACCAATGTGGATGAAGTTATCGACGTTATAGACCAGAATTATCACCCTTTCAGGAATTACAATCACAACTAACACACGAACAACAGGAATGTCTGTGTGTAGTTGCCGCCTCCGTGAGCCGATTCGTTGTTTTTTTTATTTCCTCGGTTTGTTTTCACCCTTCAGGTCCAACTGCATTCTGAGTTTTTTGTTTTTTTTTTACAGTTACTTTAACCTCAGGAATGCTTCTGTCACCTCGGGCTGCTGGCGTCGCATAGTTGTGCTACTTTCTCATACGAAGGCACAAAAGGAGCAGGATACAGTTCTGCTTGAAGCTGCAATGAGGTGGAAAAAAATACAACCGTTACAAAAAAAAAGAAAAAAAGAAATGAAGCAGAAAGACGCGAGGAGCAAAACCAAACCTGTTTTTTTTTTTTCTTTTTTCTTTTCAGCAGAACTCTTTTCAGTTGAGCAACAAAAGCAAACATTTAACTTGAGTTCTTGACAGTTTGTTTTTTACACTCTGATAATTACAAAAAGTACAAAAACACTAAATAATGTCGCAGCGTACCTGCTGACTGTGTCTCTCTTTTACCTCTTGTGGTTCTCAGGAGATCAGAAAGCTGATGCATGAGAGGAACGACAGCTCCAAGAACGTCACCAAGACCATCATCACCAAGAGGTACGACACCCAGAACAGAACTGGAACGATAAACCGATGAATCAATTCGCTGCTTGATGGAAATTAATCATAAAACGCCAAATGTTCGATGGTTCCAGCTTCAGAGAATTAGCCGTTTCTCCCTGTGCAACGTTACCATAAATTCAATATTTTCTTTGGTTTTCGGCTGTTTGGGATGTAAAAGAAGAAGTTAAACCCACAAAGTTTCTGGATGTTTTTTTACTCGCTGTGGACTCATTGTTCATCGTGGTATAAAGTCCTCTGTGGGAAAAACACAACCATGAGTACAAGTAGAGAGAATTCAGAAATGTCTGTTGTGCAGAATAAAAAAAGCTATAAAGCCATAAATCATTTTTAAAAAAATGTTTATTTTACAACAATCCCCAAAAACCTTCCAAATGCCTGCAGGTGTTTCTGGGACTGGACAAAAAAAATAAAAAAAAGTGTCTCTACACATTATAGACAATTTATTTATTTTCTGTTCTGTAGATATGCTGCCTGCAGTTCAGCTGAAAACTTGCACTTTTTTTAAAAAAATGCAGAATCTCGTGGGTGTGAACAGTTAGGGTCTAAAACAAGACATTTTTTTTTACTAAATATGACAAATTCCAGCTCAGATTTGGTTCCCAGCGTAACCGTACGTCACTAATGATCAGTTCAAGGGTCGTCTGAACGTTGAAAATGAGTTCCTTGCTGATGAATGGTGACATTCTGGTATTTGATTTTGCCTTCGAAACCCGCCGGCGGGGTTTTTGGGGGTTCAGGGGGTTATAGATGTTATCTTGAACTCTGGAAATTAGCCGGGGGCGTTTCCACATATGTGTGGTATTTTTTTTGACATTTTAAAAACAAGAAAATAACGAGCAGATGAACTGATGAGATGAGCGACTACCACTACGCTACACATTCAGCTTTAACCACCAGAGATGTAAAACTGACAACTATAATGTAAATAACTAAAAAAATTAACCAGAGTTCTACCTAAACTAATTAAAACTGAACAAATAAATGATTTATACTGAGCCTCGTACACTCTAATCTCCCTAAAACGTTGTAATAAAACGCCGTGCGTCTGATGATTCAGTCCTAAACCGTAACAATCTCCCTCCTGTGTGACTTTGCTGCAGGTACAGGAACCAGTATCCCATCCTCGGCCTGCTCAGCGACGACTACCAGGTGACCTCGCCGGTCAAAGAAGCCAAAACCATCGTCATCGAGAGAACCGGAGAGATGATCAAACAGGTAAACACAGCAGCGACGCCACCAGGAGGGGGAGCCGTGACGACGAGGAGAGTTTGTGAATAAATAGAAAATGACCGGAGTGGCGAAGTATTAGCAACGAGTTGGTGTCTGGCTCAGTGAAAGAGCACAAAGTCAGTTCTGCTGAAACATGCGTGAGTAAATAATGAACAGACCATCGAGGCCGAACGCTAAATTCTCCCCGATGCTCCAGAAGACGCTCGCCGGGTCGCACCACATTCCACATGGACACGAGGAGGGTCAGAGGCTGTAGTTTGGGGAAAATATCCAGTTCACGACGGAAAATTACAAAATAAGGCACCGTAAAAGCCTCGCTGTGAAACTATTCACACGACAACTGCAGGCAGACGGTTATCCGAACATTTGCAATTTGTTAATTGCACTTTTTTCTTTTTCCAAATTGTGTTTCGATTAGAACTTTTCAGTTTAACGCCTCACTAAATATCAGCCATTAATACTTATTTCCAGGAATTTAACGACTGTTTAAGTGAAACTTGTCGGTAAGAAACGGTGGAAGAACAACGTTCAGTTTGACGTGGTCTGTAGGTGAATCCTGACTTTCTTTAGGTTGCCTTTAAAATGAGCACTCAGGCTTGAACAGCTCTGCATGCCTTTGCATCCAGATGTAAATATGCGACGACCACCGCAGCAACTTTCACAGTCGGTCACGTAGTCGACTCTCAGTTTGAACCGGATCCGACAGATTGGACCAAACAAATCATATCATATCATAGAGCTGAGCGATGACGCAGGTTTATAATATTCAGGCTTTGTTTGTGTGAGCCGACTCGACAGAAACTAAAACCTCAGTCAGAGATATCAGCTGGTTTTCAGCATAAAAGGAGGCGTTTGACGCATCACGGTTTTCTTCTTCTGCTCAAAATAAAACCATCGTGTGCAGCTGCTTCAGTCAGCAGGTTGTTTTATTGGAGAACAACGAGGAACATAAAAGTTTATGATGGACAAAAGAGCTGCGACTGCAAATGGTGCACGACAGGAATGCTGGTAGAAAACTGTTCATATATTTACTTTACTCAACAGTGCAGCTGATCATTTCTATCTGACAGCTGCAGATTAAACTTTAAACTTCATATATTTAAACATGATGGTGCATTGAGGTCCCATATTGCAGGAAATCACTTTAATTATTGGCCTAATGAAAGTGAAACTAATGCTCCTGACTGAATATTCTCAGCTGCAGTGCAAACAGACCAAACATAAAAACATATTTATGGGCTTTCTGCATCTCCAGCTGAATATATGCCAGGTTTCCATGGCAACGCGATGCGCACAGCGTGCGATGCTGAAACTAAACTGCTTCTTTCGGTGGTTTTAGTGACGTTCAGCAACATAAAATATTCCCTCAGCTGAGAATCTACAGTTAAAAAACCTAAAAACTCAACAAACCTCAGTAACACTGATCTTATTTTGTACTTCAGGTCTCTTTTGTTTCATTATTTTTTAAGTTTATCTGCTCGTCTGTTGTTCTTTAGGATAAATAAAGTTGTGTGAAATAACTCCAGGTCTGTGAGCAGGAAGGAAATAGAACAGCGGAGGTTTGTTGTGTTAAAAGGGCAGAAAAGTTTAACCAATCAGTGTCCAGACCGTGGGAACTTTTTCTCCGATTGCAAGAGGTTCGGTTCTTGCGGTTAGAACATGACAAAGGCCCACGAGTTCCTGCAGTGGAGAACAGCTGCTGGTTGATGTCACTGAGTAATAAATACGGACACGTCAAAACCACAACCACTGACCAATGATGCAAAAAGTCAAACAGCAACGGTTAAGTATCCAGTATTACTGCTGCTGCTGTTTTCACTTATATGGTCTCGAAGCTTCAACTGGAGCCTGAAGTCTGGTGTTTGGCTCCACCTAGAGGTCACAATGTGCTGCTGCAGGTTTCATCCAGTGAAAAAATGCCTCTTGAAGGATCAGTTTGTTGGATTTAGCAGCATCTAGCAGTGAGGTTGCATATTTAACCGTCTCTTTCCAAGCACGTAGGAGGATCCTTTATGTCATTATCATTTATTGGTGATGAGAAATCGAGGCTTTAGGGTGAAAATCTGCTTGAAGTGGAAGATTCTCAGCTTTTATTTACATGTGTTATGTTTAAAAATCTAGACACAAGAATCATAGCAACTCTGAGTTAGTGTTTAGGGGATTATTTCTGACAATTCATGTTTTTAGTGTTGCCTGTAATCAACTGTGTATAAATTTAAGTAACTTCCTCAATATGTGCAGCAATATCAATCAAAAAATTGATTAAATAATAATTTCAATTCAGCACACTTTTAATTAGTCATTTGGTGAAACAAAAACAACATAAAAAATGGACCATTGAACTACAGGGGAATACTAGAACCATAAAAAAATGTGAATGACCATGAAAATAACAGCAAATATCTGTAAAATAATAATATAAGCTGATTTTAATGCAGTAAAATAGAGTTAACTTTGCATTAAATATTGTTTCAACCCCAGAAACAAAATCTAAATTTGTCCAGAATGACTTTAAATTGTGCAGCGGTGTCAGAAAGAATACAACAGTAGAATAAAGTTAACAATAGTAGGAAATATCAGTGAGATAAGGATATTTTAAGCTGATTAAATACAAAAAGACAATAAATTGTAAAAGCCAAACATAGTCAAAGAACAACTTATGAAAATATGGTTTTAATGTGGATGTTATGTAGCGTAGGCCTGATTTTAACGTGGAAATAAGTTTTGCTTTCTGTGAATTCACTAGTTGTTATTGGTAATTTAACAAAACAGAGAAAAGCTGTAAAATAGCAGTAAGTTTTGCAAAAAATACTGTTTAAAAAAAACCCTGATTTTTAACATTATACACCAACAAGCTATAGAAACAACATACTAATCGAGATTTTGCATAAGTACCCTGGCCATGTGTCATTAAACCTTACAGAGGTCCCTGTCATGGTGCCTCTTTACTAGTTAAACTCCCACAATGCTCTCTGATTGGTTTTAGCATTAAACAGTAAGAGGCTCCACCTGGTGGAACAACCAGGTACTACAACCGATCTACAATACGATACATTAGCATACATGACCTTCTTCTTCTGATAGAGGAACCAGACACTTCAAATAAACAAACTTCAAAACAAGTCAGAGTTTGTTTTTTAAAATCGGGATGTCACTGATTTATTGTTAAATTTAATGAAAACCCGACTCAGTAAACCGACACTGAGTGAAAGGAGACGACTGTGACGGACAAAACCATGAGATGGTGTAAACGTTGCTGTCTGAACTGTGGATTTTGTGATGTGTGTTGTGTTTTCTCAGACACCTTCTTCTTCTTCTTCTTCTTCTTCTTCTTCTTTTTCTTCAAACACAAGTTTTGTTCAACGCGTAACAGCTTTGTCTGTGTTTTGCTTACTTCGAAACAGGAAATCATTACAACCCCTTAAAGACACACTGCTTCTCTCCGACAGGAATGATTGAACGACAACGAAGACCCAGACGTCACCCATCCTCCCCCCCTGCATGCTCCTCCCCCTCCCCTCAGGGCTCCCAGGGTTGGTGGTGGTCTCCCCCCTTTGAATCTGTAAATTTGGGATCTTATGGTTTGACCAAATTGGGTTTGTTTGGGGTGACAAGTGTTGTTTTGGGGTTATTTTTGTTGATATATAGTCGAAAAATTAAAAGGGAACCAATAATCAAAGAGCAAGTCTGTTGAGACGATGCTGCAGCCAGATTCAGGTGGAAGTGATGATCATGACAACTGGGAACTGGGTGAGATCTGAGCTGGACAGATTCTCCTCTCGTCTCACCTTCACATCAGTTTGGAACATCTCAACAAATCTCAACTAACCAAGCTGGAAGCAAATGTGCTGAAAGGTCTAATTTAACTCTTGTTTTGACTGAAGCAGCACATATAATATTCCGTCAAAACTACATATATATTCACTATTTTGAAATACACTTGCACCTCATCAGCACAGTCGGGTTGGGAACTGTAATATGTCGCACTTGGTGGAATCACTGAAGCGGTGATTCTGCAATATACTGCAAAACAATCTCCTGTGGTACATCGCAACGCTGGCAGGAAACATCCCGGAAATGGCCCAGATTTGTAGTGAAGACTGTAACAACTGTTGCTTGACTTGATTCAATTGTTTTGAGTTTTAATTAAACCACCACAAAAAAACAAGCTGCAGCTTTGCGTGGGTGTCGCAGGAGGTTGTGTTGTGATATATTGCTGTATGGATTACGTCCCATCCCGACTTGGCAGATGAGCCAACAGGCTACGGTGGGTTTGCATTTGGCTCCACATGGACGTCGTCTTCCCTGGATTCGGAAGAGATTCCCCCAAAATACTTGGATGGAAATGGTTTTCTAAATAAAGCAGAATACCCTCTAGTTTCCTCAGGTTTCAGCACGTTACCGACTCACTGCAACGTAAATGAAGAAGGAAATGTTACGAAAGTCACAGAAAGGCATTGGTTTGAATGTAAACACTATAGGTACAACTATACAATCTGAAGCAACACCTCAAACACATGTTCTACCTTTATGAAGCTTGTAACTGACAGTTTTGGTTCTGAATATTCTTCGTGTTTGCAAATGGTGTCGGCAGAACCCTCGATGTAAAGCAGTCCAGCTCAACACTGCTGGAAACCCCAACGTAGCTCCATTGGTAGAGTTTTCATGCATCTTGCAGCAAAATGCAGCTGAAACTGTTCAAATGCAGCAAATATCCAGAGCGCAACAAGAGGCCAGAGCAAACTGCTTCATTATAAAGCCCTTTACTATGCAAAGTTTAGGTAAGACGCTCCGATAAAGGTGAAGAACTGTCGACACATTGGTCTGTTTGTACAGTGAAGCCGTGTGCTCCAGCTTCCTGTTGTACTCTGGATATTCGCTGCACTGGTTCTACTTCATTTTGCTAGAAGATGCATGAAAACCCTTATTTATTGAACTGCGTTTGGTATTGAGGTTGTAGTTTTCAGTGGTGTCGAGCTGGACTGCGTTAAACTGACATGATTCTGCCAACTTTATTGGCAAACATGAAGAAAATTCAAGACAAAAATGGTCAATTACAGGCTTCATACAGACAGAAGATGTGTCTGAAGGCTGGATCACTTTGGATTATAGAGGTGGAACTAATCAAATGGTCAGCGAATGGCACATAGCGTATACATTTATACAGTATACATTTACAATTAGTTATCGCTCTGTGTCAAACACAACTGAACGTTATCGCTGTTTAATGGCTGAACAGCTGCATTAGAATCTACAGCTGGACCTAAACAGGAGACCAGTGATGGTCTAGGTTTGATACTACCGATACTTTGAGCGATACAAACATGTCCAGCAAAAGTCCATTTGACTAAAACAGAAGCTTAAACATAAGGCTTTGTCTGAGCACATGCAGCTGTATGAAAGTTATCATTTAGTCTTTATGATTAAAGATCGGATCAACGAGTCCACGACACGTTGTTGTTGTGCTAACGTTCGGTACTCGCTCTACTTTCCAATACAGTTTGTCTTCTAAACAAAGAATCTAAAGCTGAACAGCTGCATTTGAATCTGCAGGTAGACTTGAACACGATGGTGCAAATTTGATTGTTTTTGGTGCAGACACTCGTGAAACTTTGAGCAAAATAAAGATGTTGTGCAAAAATCTATTTAGTAAAAGAAGCCTCAAATGAAAACCTCTAAACACATGTAACTGTACGAGAGATTAGCCTTAAATCTGCAAAACAATCGATTAAAACTCAGATTAACGGGACGACAAACCTGCAACATGTTGGTTAAGACTAGAGTTCGACACCCAGCTCGGTTACAAATGTGTGAATAATCCGCGACAACTTGTCGTCTTAACAAAGAATTTGTGGCTCAACATTAAAATCTACAAGTGGACCAAAGCAAGATGATGCTGATTTGATGTTCTGGTGCAGATGATAGTGATGCTTGAAGCGACACAAACATGTTCTGCAAAAATGCATTTGACACAAGAAACCTCAAACGTAAAGCTTTGTGTTTAAAATCTGCAAAATCAGTAAATATGATTAAAAACTGGACTCAAATGTGCAACATGTTGGTTCACACTGGAGTTCGATACGCAGCAAATTGGTGACTTTCCCGCTATAACGTGCAAAAAAAACGGCCATTTATTTTATAGTTGTCAGAGCAGGTTGACTTGAAGATCTTGTTGGTCGCTAGATTTCCCCAGTAGGGGCTCGCTGAAGGGAAGACGAGGTGCCGTCGTGGAACCAAACATGTTAACACTCCAGCAACGCTCAGCTTCCAGTTGTCACTGATGCACACCGAGCTGGCAGCACGTAGCACGAGATCCTCCTCAAATCCACCACAGCCTGCGAGCCCGGGGGACGAGGACGTGGATGCGTTTCCATGTTTGCTACTCTGCATGTAAATATGTCTGTATATTTGTACGACGGGAATGTTTCGGCCCCGTGTGACTGTAGAGCAGCACTCCTGCTTTGTGCTTTCATTTGACGAACATTTTGGGGGAAAAAACAAATGTTCTGATCGGGTAGTTTTGCTTCTTGTAGTTCGCTGTGTACTTTTTTTTTAACCCCGAGGTTTGTGCATGGGTCCACATGTTAGCTCCATCATGTGTTTGTTCTGTGTATGGATCTGAGTCGATGTCTCACATCCATGAGAGGAAAATGCTGAAAAAGCGTCTCCCATGGGTGTAACACATCGCCGTGGGAGGGCGGGGGGCAGCGATGTGGCCGGAGCATGACTCTACGGGGGTTTTTGATGGTGGAAGAATACTTTAAAAGCACAATATTATGTAAAGTGTAGATCTGTGTCTGAGTTTCTCTGCTGGTTTCTGTTCAGGCTTTCGTGTCCACTGGGCGGCGGTACAGAAAACATGAAACCTCAGACTCCTTTCTGTGTATTTATTATCACTTTGCAAAGCTTCAAAAAAGCTGTTTACTAGTTTTTTTCCTGCAGAAAAACAAGCATTTTTTGTGTGGTTTGTCTTCCAAACCCGCCTTCTCTGCATCGCATACGTAATGAAGTGGTGATATTGTAGCTGTACGGGACACAAGACACCAGTAATCACTCTGCATGTTTGAACCGATTTCCTTCAGTACGTGTTTGAATATGCAGCCTTCTTCCCACTTTTGTTAAGTGGCTGATTCTTAGAAACAGCACCTCAAACTATACATATCTTGCTGTACCTGACATTTCCTTTATATCTGGTATATGTGTGGGAAAGATGAACAGAATACTGAAAAAAATGTAGTCGGTGAGCAGGCCGATTGTTTTGGTGGCATTTCCATCATGGATTGATCCTTGTTGAAGTTTTTTTAAAGCGTATATCAGTCGTGCATCGTGCTCAAAGCTAGCATGGTTTATTTCTACAGCAGCTACGGTGTCAGGATGAGTTTTACAGTGAATTCAGCTTTACATGGCACCAGATAAAGGTTCTGTATCTGGTTTAACAGCTCCAGTTTCCTGCTCGTTTAACGAACACAGAAAGCGTCGGGCGTTCTGCACAAACATTGGCCCTGAACGTCTGATCTGACAGAACACAGCTGCCCACTGGACACAAAGCCACATTTCTGTAGGAAGCCTGTTAAGATGTGTTGATGCTGCGGAGCCTCAAGTGCCTTCATGCGTTTACCGCGTTAGCAAGCCAATGTCAGCATCATCATCTGGTCCAAACCCTGCTCATTGCTCCAGGGGTTTCTCCAGACGAAGGACTTCATTTGCTTGCTGCCTCGGTAAACTTTAAGAAATCCTGCCTTTCTCTTTTCCAACAGAGGTTTAATTGTATGTTCAGCTAAATTAACTGCTTGTAACTAATATGCAAATAGATATGTCTAATTATTCTGTATTTTGGTTATGCGAGCGATTTTCTCTTTCAGTCCACGAGGCTTCGGGGCTGCCAGCCCGACTAGGCGTTTGATTAAAGTCAGAAATATTTCTTTGCAAAGGTGCACTTGTTGTGGTTTTACTTATTGATTGCAAACTGCACAAATATCAACCAATCAATACAATCAGATGTTATATCTGTAGCACTTTTCATACAAACAGAAATGTAACACCAAGTGCTTTACAGGTAATAAATAAAAATGCAATAAAACAATACAAACAACCCCCCAATGGACTTGAAGAACTGAGGAAAAGCTGTTCTAGACAACAGGAGTAATCAGGAAGCAGCAGATGAGATCAAATAAAATAAGCTAGATTAGTAAATAAGATACGTATTATTTAAAGAGATAGAAGTAAAGTCAATTCTTTAGAAACAAAATAAAAAAGATTTAAAATATGTAAATAGGTGAATAAATAGAGAACTCAGCAAATAAAATAAGTTTTTCTAAAAAGGTAATGAATAAATAATCTTTCAAATCAATTGAAGGATTGACCTAAAAGGTAGGTCTTAAGTTTCCACTAAAAGAAAGAAAGAAAAAAAGAAAAATCTAAATCATTTTGCTAAAGGGTCAGTTCACCAAAAAACAACAGGCCTAAACTTCAGTCCCTGTTTTCTTTTGTCCTTCAGGATTATCTGAATGAGGGAAGATCAAAAGGGTCTGAAACTGGCAGAGTTGTTTCATTACTGATCGAAGGTAAAAAACATAAATGAAGTCACACAAATCACAAAGAAGAAGGAATTAATTAAGGGGGTAGGATGCTACTCAAATAAAAAAAAAAAAAAAGGAGGACTTCTGCCAGAAGTTATAAACAAATGCCCACTCTCTTAACAAAATAATAAAAGCTCAACATCCTGATTTAAATTCACAATTTTTTTTAGATTCTAAAGTTGCAGGAAGTAAAACGATCCATGATGGGACGCATACATAGTGCGTTAGAGAAACCAAAGCCCAGGTAGAGTGGTTTGTTCTAAAGACATTCCAAAGAAAATCTGCAAAGTTCTTCTAATGTTTTCAGTGGAAAGTTTACTTTTAGTTCTCAAATGTTCTTCTTAAAGGCGTTTGGTTTAAACTGCTGTGCCCTGACAATCTCAAAACTGAATGTTACACTGAGAACATTCTCCCTTTGTTATCATGTAACATCAAGGAGCATTAAGGGAACATTACATAGATTCTATAATGTGTTCCCCCCAACAACATCCGCAGAACCTCTTCAGAACATTGCAGCCAGAATGTTCCACCTTTGTTAATATACCAAAGTCCAGGAACGTCTTATAAAGGACGTTCTGCCATCTGAGGTCAATGTGGGAACATCATACAAAAGAACGTTCTCTAATGTGTTCCCTCTACAAAAAGATAAAATGTTCTACTTTTATTACGTTACATTACAGGAATGTTAAAAAGCATCCTATATAAAAAAACATGTTCTGTCATCTCGGTAACGTCTGAAAAACATTAATGTTGTAGAAAGTTTTTTTAAATTTATCATAGAACATTGTAAGAATGTTTCATAGAAGAACGTTCTATAATGTGTTCCCTCAACAATATCTCCAAAACATCCTCGGAACACTGCAGCCAGAATGTTCCACCTTTGTTAATATATCACATTACAGGAACGTCTTATAAAGGACGTTCTGTCATGTGAGGTCAATGTGGGAACATCATATAAAAGAACGTTCTATAATGTGTTCCCTCAACAAAAAGGCAAAATGTTCTACCTTTATTATGTTACATTACAGGAATGTTAAAAAGTGGCTTATATAAAAAAAATGTTCCGTCATCTGAGGCCTTAATAACATCTGAAAGACATGAACATTGGTTTGAGAACATTTCTTACTTTGTTATCATAGAGCATTATGAGAGTGTTTTATAGAAGCACGTTCCGTAATGTGTTCTGTCAACAACATCTCCAAAACATCCTCGGAACATTGCAGCCAGAATGTTCCACCTTTGTTAATATATCACAGTACAGGAACGTCTTATAAAGGACGTTCTTCCATCTGAGGTCACTGTGGGAACCTTTTGTTAAAGAACGTTGTATAACATGTTCCCTCAACGAAAAGGCAAAATGTTCTACCTTTATTATGTTACATTACAGGAACGTTAAAAAGTGTCCTGTATAAAAAAAACAAAAAAACAAAAAACGTTCTGTCTTCTGAGGCCTCGCTTATGTCTAAAAACGTTAATGTTGGTTTGAGAACATTTTTTACTTTGTCATCATAGAACACTGAGAATGTTTTAGAGAAGCATGTTCCATAATGTGTTCTCTCAACAACATCTCCAGAACATCCTCAGAACACTGCAGGCAGAATGTTCCACCGTTGTTCATATATTGCCGTACAGGAACGTTTTTATACAAGTGTTGGTTTGACAACGTTCCTCTCTGCCATCATGGAACATAATCTGTCTTCCTGACAACATCCTTTAAATGTTGAGATAAAAAACATTATATTAACTGTATGGGAACATTGCTGGCAATTTAAACATTCTTGAAATGTTGTCTGAACATTTGATGGAAACGTTTTCTGTAAAAAAAAAAAAATAGAACTTGTCGGTAACGTCACCCAATGTTGTTGGAACGTTTCCTGCCACCGCGTCACAGTTCAGGTCATTTGAGGCTGAATGTTCTCCCTCANCCTGCCACCGCGTCACAGTTCAGGTCATTTGAGGCTGAATGTTCTCCCTCAGACACTTCAGGACGTTGCAGGAGAACAAAATGATCAGCAGGTGAATGTTGGAGAAAACAAACATCTCCTGACCTGATGCTTCTTGTCCTGTTTTGGACGCTACGGTTCTTCTACTGTGAAAACGCAAACTACCACCTGCTGCTGAGAGACGATTGGTCAGGACGGTCAAGAGTCAACCAGGAATCACCAAACAGAAGCTCTGAATGAACCAGAAGCTGCTGGAACACAGCTGGCAGTGTCCACAGTGTTTGAAGAAACACGGGAAGTTCTTCCTCTAGAAACAGAACCTTAAAGCTCCACTGAAGTCTGCTGCTGATCACATGGACAAAGAAAAGGCCTTCTGGAGGAAAGTTCTGTGGTCAGATGGAACTAAAACTGAGCAGAAACATGTTTCGAGGAGAGAAAGTGAGGCCTTTAACCCCAAGAACACCAAACCTACCATCAAGCACGACGGTGGCAGCATCATGCTCTGGAGCTGCTTTACACAAAGTGAACAATGAAGATGAAGGATTACGACCACGTCCTTCAAGAAAACCTAAAATCATCAGAGAGAAGGTTGGTGCTTGGACACAGTTGGGTGTTTCAACAAGACAAAGACCCAAAACTAACATCAAACATGGTCAGAAATTGACTGAATAAGGCGAGAATGAAGGTTTTAGAAAGTCCTGACTTAAACCCCATCAAGAACCTGTGGACTGTGATGAGGAACAAGTCCGTGTAAGAAGGGCAACAAATTTAATTTAACTGCATCAATTGTGTCAAGAGGAGGTTCAAAGATAGAAGTTTGTGGATGGAAACAAGACGTTGGACCAAACATTAGTGTTTCTGTCTGTATATTTTTGACCATATGACCAGATTTGGTCATATTCCCAAAAGATCTTCAAGAAATCTAGATTTGCATGATAGCTTTTTTTGTGACAAAGAGTCACGTGTTTTAATGACTCCATGAATTATAGGAGTCTCTAGACTGTCTTGACATACACGTGTTCACAACTGTATATAGTGTCATTATAAAAGTATAAATTGTGATGAAAGTTTACTTAGTTTGAAGTGCAGCAGCATATTTCCTGAATTCTGCCTCTGTCGTGACACAAACTGACCAAACGGCATCACGTCAAGCTGCTGCGTCGCGTCCAGCAGGGGGCAGCAGCTTCCCTCGGCTGCTCCGACTCGACTCGAGGTCACGGAGTGGAGCTGATGGAGCAGAGAATGAGGTCATCGCAGATCTGTAGGGCTTGGCTCAGTTGGCTGCCTGTCAACCATTTTGACTCCAGTCACTGTTCTCAAAGCCCACATAGTCGCAGAGGAACCATCACAGAGCGCTGCGAAGGGGGCATCGCTGGGAAGCAACACATTACACCCAAAAAACAGAACATCACAGCAATCTGATTGTTTAGCATCATCTGAAATAAAGTCCTGGAAGATTCATGTGCAGGTTTTTGTGTTCTGGTTTGCAGATGATTAAACAGGATTTAGTGAGTTGGTTTGTAAAAATATTAAAGCATAAAAAGGTAAAATTAAACCATTTTGCACTTTTCAAACACTTTACAGTTACACAAAATAATCGAGAGACTCCAGAGAAGCTGCAAGAAACAATATCTTCATTATACCTTGTGCCTATTTTATGTTATTTGTCTTTACTTTTCTGCATCTTTTCATATTAACAACGAGCATCAACACAGTTCCAGCCAATGACGGGCCGAAGTTCACGACATGAATGAATGTTTCCTCACTGACACATTTCTTGAATTAATCGATTATGCAGCTCTTCCTATGCAGGACTCGTGAATTAAATATGAGAAGATACACAGAAAAAAAAACATGTTGCCTCAACCTGAATCCAGTCCTGACATGATCTATGTTTTATTTGAATCGTGCATTTTTTTAAAAAAAAAGACATATTAGAGATAGTTTGACTGTATGAGGACAGTTTTTGTTTACACTCAGGAACATATTCAGCTTGTAAATTACCAGCTAGTAATCAGATTGTAGCTCTGCTTTCTTCTGGATAAAATAAAACACAAATTGGCCTTAAAAGGATTCAAAGTTCACGTCAATCAAAATCCAACAATAAAAATTCTGTCACCACTTTGTGTTTGTTGCCATCAAGTTCTTTAAGTTGCACCTCTGTCTGCAGGATGATGTAATTTCATGCAAAAAGAACAAATAACCTTCTTTCTTATAGATATAATCACTGATTAAGATCACGGAGGCACGTGCAACAAATTTAAGTTGAATGACTTGAATGCCAAACCTCAGCTGATTTACTGCAGAAACAAGTTGCCTCATTTAAGGCTTCATCCACACAGACACGTTTTAAAACCATCTACATACAGACGAGCCGTTTGGAATTGTGTCAGAAAAACAATCTCGCTTTGT